ACTGGCCCGCTTCGCCCTCCAGGGGGACGTGGCCCGGCAGGTGCTGGCGCCGAAACCCAGAAGCCTGGGCAAGAGCGCGGCGGAGGGCCACAACGACAGGCTGCAGGCGGACCTGATCGATTTCAGCCAGAACACCCGCAGCCGGAACAAGTACGGCCTGGTGGTCACGGACGTGTTCACCAGGGAGGCGGTGACCAGGCCGCTGCCCGACAAGAACGCGGCCACACGGTGGCCCGGGCCGCCGCGGAAGCCATCCCGGAGCTGGTGGAGGGCGAGGGCAACTACGTGGTCACTACAGACGAAGGCAACGAATTCAGGACACTCGAGGCGGCGCTGCCCGGGCAGGCGGTGCACCGCACCAAGAGGCCGCAGGACAGAAACGCCACGGCGGTGGTGGACAGACTGATTCAAACCTTGAAAAAGGATCTGGCCGGCGAGGTGGCCCGGCACGGTGGCAAGTGGGACGACCACGCCGCCAACGCCACGGAAGCCTACAACGCAAGGCCACACGAAGCAGTGCACGCCGCGCCGGAGGACGTGGAGACGCAGCCTGCGACCCAGTTCAGGGTGCTCCAGGACAACGCTGCAAAGTTCCAACACAACAAGCAGCTGACAGAGGGCCGTCGGGCGCGCCTGCAGCAGGCCGGGGCTTTCCGGGCGCCCACCAACGCAGGCCGCAGCTTTCAAGCGCAATATGGGCCAGTGAAAGAGCTGGCCAGCGCGGACTCCATGACAGCGCGGGCCACCGACATCACACAGACGCTGCTCAAGCATGCGCTGCCAGTGCCGCGGGAAAGCACGGAGCCCAGAGGCGCACTGACCACTCGTCCTGTCCCACTGGCGGTCCGGCAGCTCCGAGATTTCACTCCAGGGCCTACAGCGCCCGCAAGCTGACTGATGCCGCGACACAGCTTGCACACTGCCACACTGCTGGCCCGCTGATTCGTCTGGTCATTTCTTTTTCATGCGTCATACATGAAAAGGAAGGAAAATGCAAACTGATGCGCTGGCCGCCACAGTTCATTCAGAACCGAAAGAGGCAAA